GTAAGTCCAGGGTTAAAGTCTCAGCCCAGAGATCAGTTATTGTAGCTGGTGATTATCATGATTTTCTTCAGTATATTTGGGCAAATGCCAAGATAATATCTTAAATTAGGCCGTGATATCTTCCTTCTGTCCTGTCTTATCTTCAGCTCCATTATACCATTAATGCTCTGATGGGCCTCCCAGTGCACTCGGCAACAAATGCAATTATGTGCTGATAATGACAGTAACCATAATTGTTTGTTGGGCTTCTCAATGCTATATTGGGTGTGTTGTAACATTCATTAGTCTCATAATGCGCATTGATATCAATGTCACTATCCTTTGTAATTAAAATGTTCCCATGTTAAACCCCTACTCTTGTGTTACACAATCCGACACCATGCGATCGCAACTTTTGGCCTTCCCTGTACAGTTCAAATCTTATAAATGTAACCCTTAGTTTTTCTTTTATCTGCTGGGTGTATAACACAGTGTATAAGTCACAGAACGTATTGGCATATATTTCCTTCCTTTTTCTCAAAATATTTTGAAAAAATAGAAACATGGGGTTGGGGATATGTGTAGAAGGCGAAGGTAAAGTTGTCCGTATGTTTAAGCATCACATCATGGAGACATATAGAGGAATGGAGCTATAGCTCATCACATTCTTAACACTGGCACTAGATGGAGATGAGTGGTCAGCTTCATGCTCCAGCCACATTGCCTTCAGGGAAATATCCCTTGGGTGGGACTGAGAGGCAGACTGGACATGACAGTGAAGAGAAAAATCCCTGCCACTGCATGGAATTGAATCCTGGTCATCCAGGTTGTAGCCAGCCACTTAACTGACTGAACTATCCCAGCTCATGATTGAAAATTGGAATGTATAAAAAGAAAAGAAAAGAAAAGAAAATTTCTTATATGGCTAAGCTTCAGAGAATGTTTCTTTCATACTGCATTATATTTGTTACGTATCTTATGTCACTGTCACATGCTTCATTCAGTTCTGGTTATTGACATTGCTTGCTAGAAACCATCCTAGACATTTAGTTTGCAGTACAGATCTTCCTAGAATTAGGTATTCAGTTTGTGATGAAGTCATCCTAGACATCCACTTTGTTTTATAAAAGTAATCATAGATTTGAATTTTGCAATATAACACATACTTTGCTGTAGAAATGATTGTAGAAATTGTTCTAGACATACAATTTCCTATGGAAGTAATTTGAGACACATAGTTTGATATGGATTATTCTAGTAACACAGTTTCACATTAAGAAATGATTAGAAGTAATGGTACATTTAAAATATGTTCAAAGGGAAAATCAAATATGTTTTCAAAATAAAGAACAGGTGAAGTTATGTAAATTAGTGTATTGAAATGTGTACTTTTTAGAGCAAATGTTGTGGTTGACTTTCACTGTGAAGATTTCTGTCTTCTGGGTTGTTGCGCTGTGTAGTCTGGTCGATGTTAACCAGCGTTTCAGAGGTCATACTGCCTCCGTCATCAGGCCTCTGAAACGTTGGTTAACATCGACCAGACTACACAGCGCAACAACCCAGAAGACGGAAATCTTCATACTCACCGCTGTGAAAACCTCAAATCTTACGACTTTCATTGTATTTTACATCTCATTAATTTATTGCTAATGATCCACAGGAGAGGTATGAGATTGAGTCGGATGAGAATCGTTTGGAGGTAGCTCAAACTATTTACCGTACATATTTAGACAGACAGGTGAGTCTTCATATTTTTAAGGGAAGGTTGCAGAGACAAGTATCTCATGTTTTTCAGTTCCAGTTGGGTTGCAAGGCTTTGTTTGTTTTGTTTGTTAATTAGTTGGAACAAAACTGAAACAGAGAACAAGCTGTTCATGTTTTCATTCTGTATGTGGTCCATACTGTTGGCAGCTCCATCAACTCCACATTTCTTTTATCATTAACATTTGGATAGATGTTTTAATAAGGCCTTGAAGTCTAATTTTTTTTTTAATTTTGTATTAAATTATGTTATACTAACTCATTTTACAAAAGATATGTATTTCTTGGAAGTAATTTGTTAAGAAAATTTCAGCAAACAACTGAATTTTTAATTAATTTAATTATAGTAATTAGAGTTACAATAATGAAAATCTATCTGGCTGTTGTAGAGTTGTGTATAGATGGATGAATGAAGCAATTTTAATAGGTGCTCCACAGTGCTTCAACATTCAGTATCAGATTTTCATGAAATCTGATACTGGAGCACACCTAAAAAGGAAAGTTAATTTTTCATCCACCTATATGTATTTATTTATTTACTGTAACTTTTTTATATGGAAAATACTAATTAAAGCAAAAGGTATAACACTTATAAATGAAAGACGAGGAAACTAGGTTGTGCTATTTGATGTGAGCGGTTATTGGTGATTATCTTGCTGGTAGAAGTTGAGTTTTGAAGTTCGATTTAGCTTGTTTTCATTGTAGCCAAGTTTTGTATGCGTATTAAACAATTTAAATGATTTGTTTACAGCATTATAGTTTTGGTACGTTTCTTCACTGTTATAAATTACTTTAAACAAGTGTGTCTGGAATTAGTTACATTTGTGGGTGAGGTGTTTGGCACCTGTCTAGCTGTCATGTGGGATTTCACCACATAGATGGGGTGTCTAACTGGGAATTTCCTCATGGACCTCCCCCCTCTCACCACCACGTGGTTTTAGGGTCACCGCTCATGGAAAGTGCTCATCAGTGTTGTGAACTTGTAACCAAAATTGGAGTGTGTCCAAGTGTCAGATATCAGTAATATCCGATACCAAATGTTGCAGCCACGTAGTTAGCACTTTTGATTCGGGTTCAAATCCCAGTCCAGAGACCACTAAGTAGTTAGCACTCTTGATTCAGGTTCAAATCCCAGTCCAGAGACCACTATCCTAATTAAGGTTTTTTGTGGTTTTTCTGTGTCCTAGGTATGTGCCTGGATAGTACCTTCAGTAGGACATGACATCTTCCTTCCATATCCTTTCTATTTTTTTATGTATTATAATCATTCTTGTTATTTGGTAACATATAATCTGAGCTGACTGACAGCATTGTTAAATAAACCATGAATTAATATGTAAAACTCCACTCTGTTGTTACTTTTGTGGGTGGCCAGATAGACATGGTTCAACCAATAGGCCAGTTTCTTGCATCTGAGTTGTGAACATGCGAGAAAGGGGATTTAGTTTTTAAAATTGTTAATCAGACTTTTGTAAAGCAAGAAATTTTTGTTGTATATTTCTAATTCAATCAGGTCATGAAAAAATTATTATGATTTCAGGCAAATGAGGCAGTTGACGTTTTAAATGCAGAGGTAATTGAACATTCTAAAGAGAAACTTGCTACCGGCAACAAAGAACTGTTTGTAGAATGTATGGCAGCAGTCAAGACATTTCTAGCCGGAGAACCGTTTCATCTATTCGAAAATTCCATGTATTTTCATCGTTACTTGCAGTGGAAGTGGCTTGAAAGGTGAGCTGTTAGTTACTGTTCATGTTCACATGTAGTTATTTTTTATACAAAGTGATGTCTGTTCCAGCACATTTATTTGTAAGCCATGGAGTAACTGTACTGTAAATTGTGTTACGGCAACTGCAGGTCTGCACCTGCATCAAGCTTACATTCTTAAATGAAACATTTGTGTGCCAAAGTGTTGATATATTCTTACTCTGTGCAGTCTACCCCTTCCAAAAAAAATTTTTTTTAACACTTTGCTGTCTCTGTCGGACTGAGTCCGGCATTTAAATATCTGAGTTCCGGCCTGATGTCGGACTGAGTCCGCCACGTATTTTACGAATTTTTTACGTGATCTGGAGTCAAACTGAGGCTGGCAAACAGTGTCATATCAATCAAGCATTCTTCTTTGTACTAGTTCTATCCTAGTTTTCCTGGTAAGACTTTGTGTACCTTATAGTAGTGAAAGGAGGCAAGAGAGAAAATTTGTTTTATTCTGACACGTGTCCAAGGAAGCCAGGACTCCACACCAAGTGTTTTGCCATAAATCATATAGTAAAGGACTACCATTCGTGTATGTAACTGTCATATTTACTTAGAATGGAAGTATTTTATATCTGATAAAGTCATAAAACAAATATTCTATCTTCCCGCTAGAAATTATATTTCATTAATTATTTATGGCGCAATCTACCACTGACATGTGCATATTCTTTTGTCTTCTTATCAAGAATTCTTTATGTGTAGTGATTTCATTGTTTACACTTCGTGTTGTGTTTCGCTTTAATGGTGATGAACTTGGTATTGATCTTTCGGACACTGTTAGCGTGAAAGGAAGCACAGCTCTGAAAATATGAAATCCAATGCTAATACATCGTATATCTGCATGCAATAAGAGATGTTTAGACATCGCCAAAGTCATATCTACCGACTTGGACTTGCTTTCTTCTCTCCCAAATGATAGGAAGCAGAAAGGCACCACTTATTACTAGCGACAGTGGTACAGTCCGTGAAAAATATTTTACACGGTCAGTATTCAAACAAGAGGAACTGTGATGCACTCAGAACATATTTTCACTATATTTAGCAAAGTGTCTTCCGTCTTATGCAAGTTAAAAAGGAAATCAAAACAGTTTATAATAGTAGTTGAAAGTATACAGCTTAGAGGCATTTAAATAGACCAGCAGAGAGCCGTATTGGTATTTAAAAGGGACCACAAAGGGTTAATGTACTAGTTGTATAAACCGATACAGTGTTTCCATTCTAGCTTCCTAGTTTATTCTCTTGGCTAACCTACCACATATGAGATGAACGTAAAATTGCTCATGTACTTAATTAAACACATTGCCACTGAGATATATGGTGGTGTAACTTCATGCAGTTGTAGCTTGTCACTAGATGGAAGTCAGTCATCATAACCCCTGGTAAAGTTTTTTGGTATCTATTTGATAGGTTGGGTGAGCCCCAAAACCAGCCTGAGTCTAGTGGCAAAGTGAGAAATCTCACCCTTATCAGGAATTGAATCGTATAGCCTATTTCTTTAATTATGAGGCTTGACCTTTGCTCGGATGTAGAGAAGCCAATCACGTGGGACAACCTTCAGTTGCAGCTTAGCAGTGGTTTTTTTTATTTTATTTGTAGTGATCTGTCTGAGGACAGGTCCATATGAACGGGATCCTTCCATCCTTTTCTCGGACTGGGACCTGTTCATATACGTTCTTGGCGGATGATCCAGAAGTGGTTTGCCATTGCCTTCTTCTGTGTGTGAATGGAGTAATTGTTGGGATGCCACGGAGGAAAACTCCGTGTTGCCTAGACCACGGCCTTGCCCAACACAAGTTATAAATTCGGGCACCGCCGGGAATCGAACCCGAGACCCCCAGGATTACAAGGCTAGTGTTCTGACCGCTAGACCACCGTGGCGGTTTAGCAGTGGTACAAGATGTTTATATTGGAGGAGTTCAGTGTTATCATGTTATACTGTTTAACCATTGCAAGTCTAGCCTGAACCTTCTCACTTGGCTGTAAAATATACTTGGCAGCATTTTTTGCGTTTCACTCTGTAATGTGCGACCGAAATGAAGTTGGCTGAGAAGCACACGGATACAGTTGGCCCACCCTACACTTGCACTGTGTTGCATAGTATTTGTCTGATTGGTTTTCCCAAGCTTCATGAGACAAAGAACACAGCGTAGTCACCCAGCCTTTAGCCAGTTACTATATTGAATGAGATATTCTGCATCAGAACTTGTTGAAATGTGATAAGGAATGAAACTGTGATGTATTTGGTTTGAAGGGAATATTCAAGACTGAAGAAAACTGGCTACAGACTGTAGGATTTCTAAAAGGATTATGCAATTTGAACTAAAAGGGGAAAAAAGTATCGTAGGAAGGCCTGAGAAGAAGTCGGAAGCTAAATAGCTCTGTCGTGAAGTAAGGGAGGAACGTTACATTTTATGAGGATTCAGTTATATACACTTGAGTTTCATTCCTAGTTATGGTCTTTGGATTTTGTGATGTACACAAATTCTGGAAACTGCTAGAAATTCAGAACATTTTTAATTTCAGATTTTATCTAGCCCGTCTCATTATGTACCATGTCTGTAGTACAGAAACCTAAGAGTGCACTATTTTCTGCATTTTCATTCACATGTGGCTTTTTTCTTTTCAGCCAACCCGTTACATACAAGACTTTTCGAATGTATCGTGTACTTGGTAAGGGAGGATTTGGAGAGGTGTGTGCATGCCAGGTTCGTGCCACAGGAAAAATGTATGCCTGCAAGAAATTAGAGAAAAAGCGCATAAAGAAAAGAAAAGGCGAGGCAATGGTGCTTATCGAGAAACAAATACTTCAGAAAATCAATTCTAAATTTGTGGTAAGTGTTCAGCCTATCTACTCAGTTTCAAGTTGTTAAATGTAGACTTTGATACACAAAAACCCCTCTGTTGATATAAAATTGGGAAAGAATGCAAGAAAAATTTGAATTTATACAAAATGTGAAACTATATGACATTTTGTCTACCTTTTTGGATTGAAAGGAAATTCTATGGAAAAGAAATTGATGTAGGACTCCAATAATACAACTTTACTAGCCACTTAACATAGTCCATTCACCAATATCCTCACTGTAAGCTTTACAGAAATATTTTATGTGGAAAGTTTATGTTAAATGCCAAGATAATACAGTAATTGTATATTCTTTGAGGATGTAATATTGGTCAATTGGCCTTATTGATACAGAATAAAACACCAATATTTTGGAGACCGTTTATGTGTTCATTGTCACTGACTGATGCGATGAGTTATACGCGTAGACCTAACAGATCCTGGTCCTCATTGGCTTTCAAAGTGAGGGTAGTATAAGAGTCTAGCAGCCACCCATCCTACAGAGACCCAGTTTGATGTTTGCTTTTTGCCTGGGTTTTTCAGCGAGTGACATCAGGCAGTTTGTATGCATAAATAAGTCCATGTAATAGATTATCGATAAATTTATCAAGACATTTCTCACCTTTTATGGAATGTGAAGTGTATTATTATGTTCACAAAACCATTAGTCTGTATGTATTTCAACTGATTTGTGTCACATATTAAGTCTGTACAAATATATAAAATCATGATTTTTACAATAATCATATATAGCGAGTAAGAGTAGAGCAGTGTGCAGTTTATATTCTCTTACAAATTTGACTGTAACTAATTTGTTGTATGACAGGTGAGCTTGGCTTATGCATATGAAACAAAGGATGCATTGTGTCTTGTACTCACCATTATGAATGGAGGTGACCTGAAGTTTCACATCTATAATATGGGTGGGGATCCTGGATTTGATATCAACCGTTCTCGCTTCTATGCTGCTGAGGTCAGTATCAAAACCACTCTGTTGTATTACAACATGAATCTTATTTACATAACTTATTGGCTGTTAAAAGTTTAAGGTGGCCTTCATTGTCATAAGCTACGTAGAAGAAAAAAGGATTGGAATGTTGGCAATTCTGTAACACTTATAGCTATGGATGACATAATATTGTAACACTTGAATTATTAGGTTATTAATGAAGTTCTGTCATAATATTACTATTTCAGTTTAGCAGAAATGATTCTTGTAGGTCTTGCAGTTCATCGTCATACAACCAGATGCCAGTTTTTCACAGTGTAGTCAGAGAATTTCTGACAGTGAAACTAGTGTAATTTTTTTGTTTGCCCCGTTATACCTGCTGTTTATATATATAGTGTGGTTATTTGTGTGTTTTTCATTAGCGCAGAATAGTGGCAAATGCTCGAGAAGGATTATCAAAAACTTTTTGGGTTAGAGTAGTGGTATCCTTTCAATTTTTGAAATGTTTCTTCCATCAAGATTGTAGTTTATCAGAGTTAAGTTTTGTAATTGAATAATAGCATCCACAATTCTCATAAATATAGTTCAAAATGTCACACATCCAACTATGTTTTCATTTATTTTGTTTATTTATTCAGCAGTCTTTTCTAGGCTTGTTGAAAGTAGTAAACATTAGTTAACATACAGGTTAAGACTAATACCAGTGGCTCTAGTATTGCAAGTGTTCGTTATGTGTCTGACTGACAAGCTTGCAGTTTGACGAGCTGTTTGCTGACCATATTTAGTTATTGTAAAATATGTGGCATTAATCCAAAATCATTCCTCTCACTCACCACTAATCAGTTCTTTCATATGTTTAAACTTTGGTGACATCAGTATAACGAAGACATACAACCAAACTCACCTTTCTCTCTCTACTTTCTCTCCCTCTCCCACTCTCGCCCACGTGCTACCATTGGTCCACTCCCATACCTGCTCCCATTGGCTCGGGGCAGGCTACACCTTTCACTTCCCGACCTATAAATCCAGCTCCTCACACCCTATTGGCATATTCATCGCCCTGATGACGGAGGCAGTATGACCTCTGAAACGTTGGTTAACATCGACCAGACTACACAGCGCAATAACCCAGAAGACGGATATCTTCATGTTCTAGTAAATTTTAAAGGATTCTTACCAACTGAGTAGGTGACCATTTCCTTTTCACCTGAGGACAATAACAGATCCAGTTTCGAAAACATTGCATTCTTCTGAATACCAGACAACAGACAAAGCCGAAGAATTTAGTAAAACGTGTTCTTCTCACGATTTTCACCATGTTAACACCAGCACAGCTTTTGCACAAGTGGGGTGACCTTGACTTTAGTGTCATGGGGTAGATTGATAGACTATATTACATTGGGGCTGACTTGCTTCTAATATTATTTTTGTACTGTAGAGATTGATAAACTATATTACATTGGGGCTGACCTGCTTCTAATATTATTTTTGTACTGTAGTTTGTGATTGTTGTTTTTCATTTTAAATGTTACGTCCTCTATAATCACATAATTTTTGTTTTCATTTTATGATTTCTGAATGTAGAGATGATTTGTTGTAATCTCTCCTTACTTTTGGTCCTCTCTTTCTGTTCCATGTTTATGAATCCATTCTGTATATTAAAGAAGCACATTTGGAATTTGGCAGTGCAGACTTGTTCACTTTTCAGCTTTTGAATCAATTGGTAGGTACAGTTTAGTTGTAGTAATTGAGATGGTTATAGCCGTATGTGACTGAATGGTGTAGCCGTTTAGTTCATGTCTGTAATTTTTAATTGGTATGGTTTTCATATGTAAAGAGACTGTGCTGCCACTGTCTTGTGTTTGCTATGGTGTTTGTTGAAATGTTGCACAAGTCTGAATAGCCTGGCAGGTAATAAGACACATTTGCTTCTCTTAAGCTACTTGCCATATTTTGTAAGGAAAACCGTTCTTGTGTATCATGTTGTCCACACGTTCGTATATATGTCGTCTCTGATGCATTTAAACCAATTCACGTGTTTTCATGAAATTTAGGTGAACACTATACCATTAAGTTACAAATAACTGGAGTGTCTTTTGTGTTTTGGATATGTAGTTCACCTCTCGTATGTGGTCTGGAATTCTCCATCTGCAATATGCATACTGCGTTTCTTACAAAAGTCGCTTGTTCAGTTAGCTAACCTGTAATGAAATTTCTGTTGATTATTTGTTATTTTATACAGGTGCTTTGTGGATTGGAGCACCTTCACGTGCAAGGCATTGTCTATCGAGACTGCAAACCAGAGAATATCCTTCTAGATGATCATGGCCACGTGCGCATCTCAGACCTCGGATTAGCAGTGGAGATCCCTGAGGGTGAAATGGTGCGAGGCAGGGTTGGAACTGTGGGCTACATGGGTAAATTCTATCATATCCTAACATTCATTGGACAATGCTTTTGTTGCATGTTATGATTTGTTTTTGTGTAGTTTATAGACTTGTGTGAATTGACTAAGAATTAAGCTTTTTCTGTCTGTTGTTTATCTGAAGTTGGTCTCCTGAAGTTTCCTACCAGTCCTTTCTCTTCTTTTATCACCTTTTATTACTAAATTTATTTGAGTATAAGATAGTTTTGTAAGGTCTGTTTTTATAATTTCATTTCGTTTTTAGTGCAGAGGTAAACACTTATAAACTACTGTGTATACATTTTACATTGCAGCTCCAGAAGTGATAGACAATGAGAAGTATACATTCAGTCCTGATTGGTTCAGCTTTGGTTGTTTGATTTATGAGATGATAGAAGGTCAGGCACCTTTTCGTGCAAGAAAAGAAAAGGTAAATGGTCAGTTTGTTGTATAATGTGTTATATATTCTGTCTATTTGTTGTGTGAAAGTTACAGGTTGCCTGTATTCCAGAACCATGCCATGATGGTATTTAGGGACAAGGAGATAAATTTCCACATAACCTCAGATTTGTGCATAGGGGAGAGTTGGTGTACGTGCTGTGGTAAAGAGAATAATCTGCCCCTGCTGGGAATTTTATCCTGGCCTTCAGCCTGATCTGTACTGTAGTTTGTATTTCTTTCTGTTTGTTGTGCGGAATTATATTTTCTTTTTAACTAGTGTACAGTACATTGCATTCTACAGTACCATTAACTATTGTCTGTTGCACTATATTTTCTCTTATAAAAATCTAGTAAAGAATTTTCATGTAGAAAATGCAAGTTCACTTTTGTGATTTCAGAACAGCGTCAGTAATTTTCTTCAGCTTGATTATAAGCCCATTAGATAAGCAGTGCTTCAGTTTTCATCTACTTCTGTTTTCTGATTTCACTTTAAGGTGAAACGAGAAGAAGTTGATAGACGTGTAAAAGATGACCAAGAAAAATATTCACATAAGTTCAGTGAAGAAGCCAAGGCTTTGTGCCAGCAGGTAAGATTGTCATGTGAATACATTGTCATAGTGTACTATACGAGGTCTGTTCAAAAAGTATCGGACCTTAATTTTTCCCACAGAAACAAATGAAGCACGGGAGGTGTCCTCCGGTGAGGTGTTCTAGGGGACCTTGATGCGCATTCGTGAATTTTTTCCCGCCCGCAGAGAGCGTGTGAGTGAGTGTAGTGAACGCCCGTCGGATTTTCCTTTAACCGCGAAATGATGGAACGACTTGAGCAGCGGTATTGCATCAAATTTTGCTAAAAGCTTGTGATACCCAAGTGGAAACCATTCGGAACATTCAGCAGGCTTGCCATGAACATCACACGAATTAAGGAGTGGTACAACTGCTTCAAAGATGGCCGCACGTCACTGGAGAGTGAACCTCGTTCCGGTAGGCCCTCAACAAGCTGAAATGACGATGTCATTGACCAAGTGCAGACTTTGGTCATGCAGGACCGTCGTGTCACCGTCCGAGAACTTGCGGACGAGGTCATCCGTCGCCTTCGTGATGCTGTGCGGCGCAAACAACCGGACTTGTGGGCAGCGGGAACTTGGCAGCTCCATCATGACAATGCACCCGCCCATTCTTTGAATCTGATTCAGGATTTCTTGGCCAAACACAACATTCCTCTGGTTCGTCAGGCTCCCTACTCTCCCGACATGGCTTCATGTCATTTTTGGCTGTTCCCCAAGCTCAAAATTCTGCTGAAAGGGACCCGATTCGCGGCAAATGAAAATCCGACGGGCGTTCACTACAGTCACTCACTCACAGGCTGACTGCCACCGACTGACGCTCTCTGCGGGCGGGAAAAAGTTCACGAATGAGCATGAAGGTCCCCTACAACCCCCCACCGGAGGACACCTCCCGTGCTTCATTTGTTTCCGTGGGAAAAATTAAGGTCCGATACTTTTTGAACACGTATAAGTAAATGTGTGTGAATTTGCATGTTGATTTTAACAATTTACTAGGGAGAGTTAAATATTATTTATATAAACTCCATACTTCACTGAAATAAGTCATACGGTTTCTTATGTACTGTAACTTAGTTTACTGTTCTGTAATATTCCCCATTTTACTTATATTTACACACACACACACACAATCATTACCTATGGATAACTTCCATGTTCAAAATCTATGAATTGATAGTATGTGCTTCCAATCCACAAAGATAGCACAGTTTTGTTACATTTTAATTTTCACTTCAGTTTTATTACTTCAAACAATTTTCATCAGTTTGTCTATGACACATTTTCTCATCTTCTTCTAAAGGTAATTGAAAGGAAATGTAATTTTCCCCATTGCCCTGGTTGGTTAATATCTTTCAAATCCAAATGTCATCCTCTCCGCTCTATCCTCAGAAATGCAGTTCTTCCCTTCAGCGAGGAACATTTTCATGTAACTGATGTAGAATATTCTATTTGACAGCTTTTAAAGAAGTCTCCAAAGCAGAGGCTTGGATGCCACTGCGGCCAAATGGGAGCACGAGAAGTCAAACACGATGAGTTCTTCAAGTGCCTCAATTGGAAAAGACTGGAAGCAGGGATGCAGGATCCTCCATTTATTCCAGATGTAAGTACAAGGAGATTATTTGGTGTTTTAAAGGTTTGTCATGATTTTTATATTCTCACTTTAAGTGGTAACTACATGTACCACTAAGGAAATTTTGCCCACAGAATGCTTTTATGGGTTTTGTATGATTCTTACTGTAAGCAGCAATTTTTTCCTTGAACACCGTTAACCAGTTGATGTTTGTAATGGTGAAGTGTTGTGTTTTTTGTGGTACAGACTGAATTCTTAAATATTATTTATTTTTATTTATCATTGGATTCATGCGGTTAAAATACCCTTTGTGCAGATTAGTGTAATGATAATGCTAATGCTTTAGATTTGTGTTCTGGAGGTAACTGGTTCAGGTCTTCTATGAATTTCTGTCTGTCCTGATTGAGGTTTTCATGGTTTAGTCTCTTCTGGTAAATTCTGGGATAGCACCTTGACCAATTTTAATTACAGTGAAACCTCTATCCATCGTTCCCGGAACTATCGTTTTCCCGGATGCATCGTCCGTTTTGTTCGGTCCCGAATACATCCCATATAAAATAATGTTACATTTTCCCGCTTCTATCGTTCCTCGAACTATCGTTTTATCGCATCGATCCTTAAAAAATCTTAGTCCCAGCACACAATTTTCCCGCAATGATCGTTTCTGAGAAATTAAAATGCTGGGTTTTGAGATAAATTA